ATGTTACAGCACAAGCACCATTGAAATGTATTAACCTTCCAATAATTTTAAGAAATAGAAATGAAATCTGCTTGGCAATCACTGGACATTCTGACACCAATAAAAATATTTTATGTAGTTATGTAAGAGATTTTTTTAAAAAGTCTCCAAAAGGAATTCTAACTAGGAAAAATAATCATAATTAACAGGATTTCATACAGGGTACAGGAGCCAAAGACAACATTTTAGACCAGCCAAAAGCGACGACGTCATCTGCTCCTAGGTCCCTGAGATCTGACCACCTGCAGAGATCTTTAGACTCCGTTTGAAGAGTTAAATTTCCAAGCGTGGACGCACTGGGAGTCTCCGGTTTTCCGTGGTTGTCTACTATGTCGACGGGCGCCGGATGCACACTTCAGTCTGTAGGTACTTGCTCCTTCAGTGCAGGGGCCAATGTGTGACCACGGGTATCATCTGGGAATCGTGAATAAAGGTGTGACATCATCTGTGTGCATGTTTGGTGTGGGCACTGGGGTAAACAGCAAGGAGAGTCATTGCTGGGTGGCAGTAAAATTCGGTTTTGTAAAAAACTACAGAACGGTGTTCCAAATGCCTATGCCATTTTGCATTTGAGATTATAATATATAATTACATTTCTCCCATCCCTTCCCTCTCTCTAAACCCTCTCATGTGCCCCTCCACACTCGCCTTCATTCATGGCCTTTTCCCATTGTTATCTTCATGCACATATGTATATAGGTATATATTCCTAAGTACAACCTTAACCATAGTAAATGGATGACTGGTACATGATCTTAACACCATATTTCCAAAACCATGACCAGGGCTGAAACCAAATACCCTTACATTAATTAAGTTTAAGCCTCCTGGGAACATGGCATGACTTCACCACATCAGAACACAACAGGGATCAACAGCATCCGTGGCAGTTTTTCGGCACTCATGGGATCCATTTCTAATTAGTTTAAGCTAAAAGGAATTCATTACAGGATAGCCAAGGGATGAGACAGCCAGCTTTGGGAGTGGGGGGGGTGGGGGTCTAAAGATAAGCTTTGGGCTGAGCTTGCAAGAGTACGTCCTAGAGTCACACTGGACAACTGAGCTTCTGGCCCTGCCTTGGTCAGAAAACTGTGGAATCAAGAACGCACTGCTACAGTTGATGGCTCCAGGCCCAGGCCACCCAAGCCACCACTTTTACAGCCACAAAATGCAGGAGCTGTGCCTTGTCCACACACTGGAGGGGCTGGGATTCCACAGAGCCCTTGCAGGAAAACCAACTCTACTTGCCAGTAAAAACAGCAGTTAACTGAAGTAACTTGTACTGGTGAGACCTAAGTCACTTCTAAAACCAGAGCCTTGGGGAAATATAAAGTAACTGTCCTAAGATCTCCAGGTTCAGTCATTTCAGATCAGAAGGCATGATAAAGAGATTTAAAAATAACAAGTAAAGCCATGTGATGGTGGCAAACACCTTTAATCCCAGCACTCGGGAGACCGAGGCAGGTGGATCTCTGTGAGTTTGAGGCCAGCCTTGTCTACAGAGTGAGTTCCAGGACAGCCTCAAAAGCAATATAGAGAAACACTGTCCTGAAAAAAAAAAATATGTATGTATGTATGTGTATTTGTGTAGATTTATACCATGTGTGTGTGGATGCACAGGGAGGCCAGAAGATCCCCTGGAGCTGGAATTTCAGGAGGTTGTGATCTGCTTCATGTGAGTGCTGGGAGCTGAATGTGGGTGCTCTGGGAAAGCATGGAATTATATATATATATATATATATATATATATATATATATGTATGTATGTATGTATATGTATATTATATGCACATATATACATATATGCACAAACAAAAAACAAGTTAAAAAGCCATAAGTTTTATAAATTTTGAGTGAAAAAGAAATTGAGTGAAAAAGAAAAATAATATATGCAGGGCTAGAGATGTAAGATCCAACACTATTACACAATAACAAATGCAGGTAAAGCATCAATGCACATTTCAAATATTTTCTATATACATATATATATATATATATATGCACGCACACAACCTCTTATATAACTTTTAAAATACACTTTATCAGAACGTTTTACATATGAACATATGAATGCAAAAGTACAAACGAATGGGTTAAATGGTTACACACTATATCCCTAAGAAGTTTCCAAGAAATTCAGGTCAGGGAAGAGAAAGATGGCTCAGCAGTCTAGAGCACTTGCTCTTCCTGCAAAGTTTGTTTTTAATTCAGGGCGTTGGAGACATGTCTCAGTGGTTAAGCACACTAATTGCTCTTGCAGAGGACCCAGGTTTGATTCCCAGCACCCACGTGATGACAGTACACAACCTTCCATGACTTACTCTGGCACTAGCCATTCACATGGTTCACATACATACACACAGGCAAAAAAAAATAACATACGTAAAAGTATAATAAATGTTTTTTTTTTTTTAAACCTGAACCATTAAAAAAAAAAAAAAAGTCTGGAGAGAAGGCGCAGTACTCAGTAGTTAAGAGCACTTGGTGCTATCCCTGAGGACCTGAGTTTGATTCCCAGCACCCACGTGGCAACTCACTGTTGTAGCTCTAGTTGCAGGGGTTCGGATGCAGGTAAAACCCTCCTATACATAAAAGTAAATAAATCTTTAAGAAAAATCCAGGTCACAGAGTAAGTTGAGCACAGAAAGAACAGTCATCTCATTTTATTTCTTGTACTTAAAAGGCATTTTAGGATACATGAGAAAATATTAGTAGTCCATTCTAAAGGCACATGGCACTTTTATAAGCATGTCTGTAGCTTTTAGACTTGTTTGTAAACACATGGGCCGCCACACCCTCAGAGGTCAGAGGACAACTTGTAGGAATAATAGGTTCTCTCCTTCCCCTGTGTGAGTTCCAGGGTCCCAGCCCAGATGCTCAGGCTTGGCAGTGCCTGACTTTAACCTGCTGAGACAGCTTGCCATCCTTATTTCTGTAATTTTATTTTTCAAGTTTAACTTTAAAAGCTAGGTTATAATATTTAATTTTAAACATATTTCAGAAATTGACTTCAAAAAAGTACAAAATACTTGAAGCACTTAACCTACACATGGCCCAAATGCCAGCTATACATCCATTAGAAAAGGCATCAAGGGAAGGCAGTTTGGAATGCATTCTAGCAAATGTTTCAGGAAACGTCCAGTCCAATCTGTATCTACTAGGACTGCATAATCCAGAGAAAAACAAAACAACAACAAGAAAAGAGCTGTGTTGATGGCATTTCAGCCCTGACAGTTTTAAAAGAAAATCATACCACCTTGCTTGAAAAAAAAAAACAAAAAAACAAAAAAACAAAAAAAAAACAAAAAACTTACAATAGGGTTTCTCTTGCTGTGAAGAAATACCATAACCAAAAAGCAAGTTGGGGAGAAAAGGATTTTTTTTTGACTTACACTTCCATATTGCTGTCCATGACTGAGGAAGCCAGGAGAGGAATTCAAACAGGGTAGGATCCTGGAGGCAGGAGCTGATGCAGAGGCCATGGAGGATGCTGCTTACTGGCTTGCTCCTCATGGCTTGCTCAGCCTGCTCTCTTATAGAACCCAGGACCACCAGCCCAGGGATGGCAGCAACCACAGTTGCCTGGTCCCTCCCCCATCAATCACTTTTTAAGAAAATGCCCTACAGGCTTGCCTATAGCCCAGTCTTATGGAGGCAATTTCTCAGCTGGGGCTCCTTCCTCTCTGATGACTCTAGCTTGTGTCAAGTTGACACAAAACCAGCCAGTGCAAGTGACAAGTAACTCAAGAATTAAGATGGCAATTTTTGTAAAAAAAAAAAAAAAAAAAAAAAAAAAAAAAAACACTAAGATATTAGTAAATATGACTTAAAATATTTAAATTTGTATTAACGTGTACTCGCGGGTATCTATGTGTTTGTGCACATGTGTGCAGATGCTGGCAGAGGACAGAAGGTGTGGATCCCCTGCAGCTGGAGTTACATGTGGTTGTGAGCCGCCTGAAGTGGGTCCTGGGAACTAAACTCTGGCCCTCTGGAAGAGCACCTAACACTCCGAATCGCAGAAATGCCTCTCCAGGCCCCACCACTTTTTAAAGATTTATTATTATTTCATGCATGAGTGTTTTGTCTCCATGAATGTATATACACAGCAGTTCCCTTCTATAGAGTCGGGAACCTCACCCATCCCCTGGAGCTGGAGTTACGGGCATCTGTGAACTACCAGACAAGGGTGCAGGAAACCAAACTTCTGCAAGTGAAGTACAAGGACTCAACAACGGAGCACTTCTCCAGCTTCCAAACTACTTCTCTCTCTCTCTCTCTCTCTCCTTCTATCTCTTTCTCTCTCTCTCTCTCTCTCTCTCACACACACACACACACACACACACACACCAGGCTTCCAAGCTATCTTAATGAATGAAAATGACCAAAATAAATTTTATGTATGCATGAAATAATCAAATAAGAAATAAATTTTTAAAATCATTTTAAAAAGCTCGGCGTGGTGGCACAAGCCTTCAGTCCCAGCACTCGGGAGACAGAGACAGGAGGATCACTGTTCCAGTCCAGCCTGGATCTACAGAGTCCCAAGAAAGCTGTGACTACATAGTGAGACTGCATACCAAAATAAAGCAAATAAAAGTACTGATCTTATAGATCAAGATTTTCATGTAAGCGCCTTAAAACACAGTAAAGCTTAGGAGTCACTATTTTTGCAAATAAGTTTTTAAAAAAAAAAGAAAAAGAAACGGAAGAAAATTTCCAAATGTCATTAGAATAAAGCAGCAGTCACCTTAATAAAAAAATAACAGAATGCTCAGTATTAGGATAGTTGCAAAATTTTCAGAAGATGAAAACTGATGTGAGGGGGTTGCAAAACATGTAACTATTTAAAAGTCCCAAGAAGAGTCTTGCAGGCGGTTTGACTCAACAAGACGCACCGCGCCCCGAACCCCTGTGTCAGGCCAAAGCGCATGCGCACCCCTGACGCGTGCGCACTCAACGCAGGCCGGTAGGACGCGGAAGAGGAAGATGGCGGCGCCGAGCCTCCCCACGCCGTTGTACGGGCACGTGGGTCGCGGAGCCTTCAGCGACGTGTACGAGCCTTCGGAGGACACGTTCCTGCTACTGGACGCGCTCGAGGCGGCGGCGGCCGAGCTAGCCGGGTGCGAGGAGGGTGCGCGCCTCAGCGGGAGACAGCGGGGTGTCCTAGAGGCGGCGGCCGGAAGTCTTGCCTCCCCCGGAAGTGGGGGGTCGGCCCACGTCCTGGTGATTGACAGCAGGGCGGGCTGGAAGAGCCGCCCGGCGTGCGGGCGTTTGCGCGGGGCTCAGGTGTTGCTCGGGGCGGGCGGTCACCCTGCACTGCCTGCCTTTCAGCCCTGACTGTGCAGAACGTATTGTAACGACCAGAAACACGCCGTTCCGGAAGCATCGCTGCTTTCCAACGTTTTTTATTTTAAGTAGCAAACTTAGTGCATAAATAGATAGCATCCTCCGGCCACCGAAGGGCACGGATGATGGAAGTAGTGAAGTCCCTTCTACTTCTACTACTTCACAGCCGTTAGCCGCGTGTTAACGACCGAGGGCTTGAAATGTTACTGCAGCCGAGAACCCGCATTTTCAGTTGAAATGTAGTTAGGACCATCATGAAAGATTTAAATAGTTACATGCACCCGCTTGTGGGATCTTCACCAGCCTGACTTGTCGAAGAATTGGCCATAACTTTAATTTTGCAGTGAAAGAATTTGAGTGGGGAGCCGGTAAGTGGGTTCAGATGGCAAATGCGCTTGCCCACCAAGCCTGAGGACCTTAGTTCAATCCTCACGACCCACATGGCAGGAGAGAAACGTGCCCGTGGTTCTTGCACGTTCGATTGCAACACACACATACACACACACACACACACACACACACACACACACACACACACACAATAAATCTAGTAAAACATTTTGCTGAAAGGATTTGGGTCATTAACGTAATGGCCAGGATTTGAACTGGGTTTCTCCAGAACAAAATAGCCAACATGTTTACTCCCCTTAAGTTTTGTCTCTCCCCCCGCCCCCGAAATGCTCTTAAAATCAGTCCTTCGTCATAGACGCTGGAGCATTTCTATCTTACAGGACACTGGGTCATATCTTGTATGCTCAGAATAGCCCAGAAAGATTTACAACTACACATTACATTGCAGACAGTGCTGTAAATGGAGCTGGCCTTGTTAAAAAGGCTTGGAATTCTAATTATATATGAGATTGTAATGGTTACTTCCAAGAAGAAGCCACCTGGTAAAGATTCACAAATTTTAGGATGACTTCTCAGATATGTGGGTGGTTCCAAGGCTAAAAGCCCTGTAACTGCTTCTTGAGAATTGTTTGAAAAGTTAAGTGCCAGGAATTCATGTAAATGTCACGAGGCCCATTAGTCGTGGAAACTAAGTAGTGCTTTTGATACTTGTACAGTGATCGAGGGAATACATTTATTGGAAAATAATATAAAGGTCTTTGTCTAGAAACCTAAGGTTATTGGCATTTTAAGACTAGCCACTGAGGTGCTTGCCCAGTTTAATAGAGAACATCTGTTCTTTTACTCCTAGGATGTGCAGCTCGGGTTATTTACGTACCTGCCAAATGCATTGTGTGGCATGAGTTATCTTCCATGAAGAGTACCCTCACAGGAATGAACGAAATATCTTGGTTTTTGTTCCTAGAGTGGAAATATGCCTTGAAGTAGGAGCAGGGTCTGGTGTGGTGTCTGCATTCCTGGCCTCCATGATAGGCCCTCAGGCCTTTTACGTGTGAGTACATGTTCGCCCTCTTCTCCCAGGCTACTATGACTGGCAGCTTGGGGAAGTATTTTAAGTAGACAGTGTCTCTGATAGTGTTTCAGTAATTACTTAACTCACAAATTATGCTCACCCCAGTTATATTTTCATGTTTATTTCAAGCTTTGTGATTTTAGAAGCATCAACATTTTTGTCTCTACTTCGTCGAGTTGTTTTCAGGTAGATAGCTGGAAAGCTGAATCTCTTTACAGAGAACTTGAGAATACAAAAGCCGGGGAATGGTCATCAGAAAATTTTACCATACACAGAACAAATATGTTTTGTTTTTTAATTTCCTGTGTATTTTGTGTAGCAGTTTCCATTTCCATTTTTGCTGGGTGCTCAAGCTATGCTTAAATAAATTTTGGGAGTGAGTGTAAACAGACTTTTTTCTTTAGCACTGTCTGTCACCAGTATAAGGATCCTCTGTTCTCTTTTCCGTTGCTGTTCTGAAAACATCCTAATTTTTCCCATACCACATAGAGTTAACAAACAATTACTAATGACTAACGGATTTGCTTCCGTACATTACCGTGCTCTTCTTTCTTCTGTTAATAGGTGCACCGACATCAACCCCCAGGCAGCTGCCTGTACCCTGGAGACAGCCCGCTGTAACAGAGTTCAAGTTCAGCCAGTGATTACAGATTTGGTAAGCTCTAATCCTTGTTCAGTGGCGATCGGTTACGTCTCACCTAACTGAAGGGCAACAAATACTCTTTAGTGATTAACTTTTTTTGCTTTTATGAGACAGTCTTACCTAAGTAGTCATGTAGCCCAGGCTACCTTCAAATTTACTGTGTAGATGAAGATGACCCAAACTCTTTTTTTGCCTATTTTTATTTTTAATTAAAATTTTTCTTTTATTTTTGAGATTATCAGTACCTAATCTCCCCTTCCCTTTCTTCCTCCAAACCCTCCCACATACCCCATCTTGCTCTTTCAAATTCACGACCTCTTTTTTCCATTGTTACTGCGTATATGTATACACACACATATTCGTAAATCCCGCTCAGCCTTTATGATGTTACTTTAAGTATTCATTAAGCATGACCATTTGGTATTCAGTAGATGTTGGAGTTCAGAGTTACGAGGTATGCATCCAGCGACTAATTGCGACACTGCATCCAGTTCACACTTGGTTAAATTGTAAAGGCTTTAGGCATAACCAACAGGGGAACTCAGATGACATGGCACATCTTTTTCTTGGCTCTGAGTGTCTCTCTGGTGTCTCACACCCTCACGGTAATGAGATGTTTGTATTTCTGTGTCTTATTTATTGGCAGCTCCCTGTGAAAAGAAGCATCTCAGTAGTATACTTGGAATGAGAGTTGTTTGGGCCAACTGGCATTTGAAGAGTGGCTTTGACCTGGGTCATGTCCCACAGTCATACTGCACACACATCCTGTCCAGGCTTGAGTGGAAAGTGAGATGAGATAAAATATCCATCTTAGTTATTTTTACTTCTTTCTCTATTGCTGTGAAGAAGTGGAGGTGGGGAGGTGGGGAGGCAGACAGACAGACAGACACCAAGAGAAACTGGGACTGGCTTGTGCTTTTGAAAACTCTGAAAGTCTCAACAACCACCTGCAGTGACACATCTCCAGTAAGGCCACAGGAGCCCGTGATGCCAACCTTCTTCAGACCTCTGTGGTCCCATCAAAAGCAGAGGAGATGTAAGCAGAAACACAGGGGCGTGGTCCCAGGGACAAGTGAAAATAAGTGACAGCTTTGGGACAACTGTTGTTCATTAGACAGGTTCTCACTGTGTGCCAGCCTGCCCTGGAACTTTCCGTGTAATTAATTCTACTTTCTCCTGCCTCTACCCCCCCAGTTGACCACTACACCCCCCCACTCATGTTTATTTTTTATAACTTCTTAAGAAAGTTTTATTTATTTGTTGCAGCGGTGTGTGTTGAGGGAGGGGTGTTTACCCTGCATGTATGTCTCTGCACCACATTCCTCCAGTGTCCACAAAGGCCAGGAGGAGACACTGGATCCCCTGGGACTGTAGTTACAGATGGTTGTTAGCCACCATGTCAGTACTGGGAATTGAACCTTGGTCCTCTGCAAGAACAGTACCTCTGAGCCATCTCTCCAGCCCTCTATTTTTTTTTTTTTTTAAAGAAGTTCAGATTATGCCTTTTAAGTTTCAGTTGTTAAAAATATTTTAAAGGTATTAGTAGGATTTGGATACTTTTAGATTTGCAGAATATTTTTATGTGTAACAGTGAAATGCTGTTCATGAGCAAAACTCATAATGAAGTCCAGGGTAGCTTTGAACTGTCTCTTGTTGAAGGTGACTTTGAACTACTGATCCTTCTGCCTTCATCTCCCAAGTTCCGGGTTTACCAGTGTTTACCAGTGCGCGCCGTCACACTCAGCCGTGAGTGCTTCTTGGCCAGGGCTGTTCTTACCCTGAGGAGGACAGGCAGCTTTCCTAATACTGTTTCACATTTACAAAAGAGTTTGCATGTTAGAATTAACCCCAGGAGACAAGAAATTCTTTTCCTATCCACAAAAACTAGTATTGAGAAAGGTGCTCAGGTTACTCACATTAGATCAGCATGGTGATGTAGGACTTCATGTTCCCTGGTGTGTCCGTAATGATATTACATGTGGTTTTTGATGGAATAGTAAAACTTCAGACAAAACAAACCCAGACGACTTTGGAAACAGATATGGAAACTGAGGTGTCTTTCAATGCTACATCAGCATTGAAAAATTAAGATGTTTTGTCTTTATTACTTTCCTCCACTGAAAACATAATAAAACTACTTTTTTTGTTTGGTTTTGTTTTTCAAAACAGGGTTTCTCTGTGTAACAGCCCTGGCTGTCCTGGAACTTGCTTTGTAGACCAGGCTGGCCTGGAACTCACACAGATCCACCTGCCTCTGCCTCCCAAGTGTTGGGATTAAAGACGTGCGCCACCACTGCCTAACTTGAGAAAGTATTTTTAAAGACTTACTATTTGGCTGGAGAGATGGCTCGGAGGCTAAGAGCACTGTCTGCGCTTCCAGAGATCCTGAGATCAATTCCCAGCAACCACATGAGCTCACAGCCATCTGAAATGAGATCTGGTGCCCTCTTCTGACCTGCAGGCACACATGCAGACAGAACACTGTATAAATGATAAATAAATCTTAAAAAAAGAAAAAAAAAAAAAACGTATTATTTAAATCAGAGTCGAGCTTAACCTGTATTGTTGCTGCCTTCAGGTCCAAGGCTTGCTGCCCAGATTGAAGGGAAAAGTTGATCTGCTGGTGTTTAACCCCCCCTATGTAGTGACTCCTCCTGAAGAGGTAAGGCCCATAGCAGACTGTAGGCATGGTTTCCAGCTGTTTTGTTTGTGAGACAAGATGAACTTCACCTGACTTTCGTCTCTGGCTGCTAACACTCCTCTGACTATACAGAGGTTGTCAGTACCAGATACTTGGAGTGACACAGAAGAAAATGAATTTCATTCATGGAAGTACAATCCATGACCCATCTAGTCAGAATTCTCAACCAGATCCAGGCCATGGGATTGAAACTGTGGCCAAGGCCTTTCTGCTGCGTTTTATGAGAGACATCCCATGCTGACAAAGGGGAGATGTTCTTAATATGAACACTCTCTTCTTAATATGAACACTAATCCCTCATGACCCCCATGATCTCCTATCCCTGCTCCAAATGCCATCAGCATAACAGTAGGGGATCAAGTTTCTAAAATATGTACTTAAAGCTGAAGAAGAAGCTATGGAAAATGAACTTTGTGATAAAAATGGTTCAATCCAGGCCAGAGGTGCCTTAGTGGATAAAGGCTTGCCCTTAACCCTAGTCCCCAGGACCCACATGGTAAAAGTTCCAAAAGACAGTCCTCTGCCCGCATGCACATGCACACACATACACACAATAAATCAATAAATACAATTTTTAAAAAATGTTTCAATCTAATAACTGCAGCCCTTAAGATATAATCTTAAAAATCATTTCATACCTAGGTGTGGTGATGCATGCTTCAGGAGGCAAAGGCAGGCAGATCTCTTGAGTTCCAGGCCAGCCAGGGCTACACAGTGAGACCCTGTTTCCAAACAAACACAAATCATTCAGCAATAGGATAAAAACTAAATGGACAAAGGTTTGTTACATTCTGTTCATAATGACAGCATGAGCCCGTGTGTGGAGCAAGGGCGGTTAGTCCATGGCCATGGTCTCAGTGCACATTGAGAGAACCACTAGTGAAGAAAGACTTCAGAAGCCAAGGGACACTCGTTTGGGGACACGTCCTCGTTTGGTGTTTGGTGTAATCTCAATGCATCTTCAATGAGGTCTCCCTGATTGGGCACAGGTAGGAAGTCACGGAATAGAAGCAGCTTGGGCTGGTGGCAGAAACGGTCGGGAAGTCATGGACAGATTCTTCCCACTGGCTCCAGAACTTCTCTCCCCAAGAGGACTGTTCTACTTAGTTACCGTAAAAGAAAACAATCCAGGTAATAAAAGAAAAACCAGCTTCCTTATTAACTGTTTACTTTGTTGACAACGAAAGTGTAGAAAACTGTAACGTTTAAAGTAGCCTGGGCTGTTGAGCAGTCTGGTTACTGACAACAGCTAATGTAGCCAGAAGTCCGTGCTGAAAGAAGAGAAAGACTTGAGAGGTAAAATGCTCATGTTGTAAAACCCATTGTCTCCTTAGGTTAGGACAGGGCAGTTTTCCCGCACTCATGAACTAACGTTCAAATATAAACTGACTTCTCTGACTTCACTCTCAGAGTAGTTCCATCTCATGGGGTAGGTGTTACATTCCAGCAGTAATAATAATAGAGAAGATGGGAGAAAATGGTTACTCCAGTAACTGGGGGGTGGGGGGGGCACGGGAGACTACAGGCGGCTGTTGTAGATCACAGGCTTCGTAGCTGCATGGGATTGAAAACTACTCCCCCCCCCCCCCAGCTGTGTGTGGTCCTAGCACATGATCACTAGCCGGTAGAGATGAAGTTTCCAGTTGAGAACCAGTTAGTTTTCTTGAGTGTGGAGTCTTCAGCACTGTGGACTGAACCCTCAAGACTGCAGGGTAAACAGTAGCCTTGGCAATGGCCTGTAATGTTTGTTCGTGGAGTTGGTCTATGGATCCTTTTGTGTAACTGAGAAGGACATAGCTCATTCATTGTGTGTGAAGGGTTATTTGGTAGTATTTTCATAGTTCACTTTTTTTTTTTTTCCTTAGATCAGTTTTGTCCTTTCTAGATTTTTAGGTGTGTGTGTGTGTATGTATGTATGTATGTATATATGTATGTATGTGTACCAGGTGTGTGTAGGAGCCTAAGAAGGCCAGAAAAAAAGCACTGGGTCCCCTGGAACTATAATTATAGATGGGTGTGAGTGAACATGTGAGTGCTGGGACTTGAACTCAGCTCTGGGACTTGAAGACAGCTCTGCAAGAGCTGTCTTAGTGCTCTTAACCACTGAGCCACCTTCCCAGCCTAGGTTTTATTTCCAAAAGTGAACTTATTCACACTCTCTGGGTACCGTCAGGATTCAGTTTGTGCATATTCTCATTGACCTTTCCTAGAAAGGATATACGGCAGAGATTGGCACCAACCAGCTAAACATGTGGCCGTAATAACAAGGTTAACTAATGGTCCTGTGTAGTCTGAAATGGCCACCACTACAGATCAGGCCCTAAAGTCTCATCAGAATCCCCAGAGCATCTTAAACAAACATGTGTCCTACTTCTCTGAAGTCCAAGCTTTCGTTAACATTTATTTGATGTACATTGTTTAATCAGAGGAATTTAATGTTTACCATCTTATCAAATTGATTCGTGTTCATGCATATCACCAAATGATTTGACTGAGTTTTATCTTTTGTTTTTTCATTTTAGAAGAAATTTTTAAAATACTGAGGACAAAAGGTCTGCAAGGGACCACAGCACTTTGCAGGCAAGCAGGCCAAGAACTCCTGTCAGTGCTCAGGTTCAGCAAGTCCTAGTGTCCCGAGAGCCACCAGGGAACTCGGAGAACTGCCTGGAGCTGAATGCGCTCCCTCAGTAGGTCTGAGACTGATGCCATCCTCTGGCCAAGGAATTCTTATCAGAAATTTGTCACAGCAAAAAAGATAGAGTCGGGGTGGTGGCAGCGCACGCTTTTAGTCCCAGCACTCAGAAGACAGATGAGGCCAGCAGACCTGAGTTCAAGGCCAGTCTGGTCTACAGAGACAATTCCAGGACAGCCAGGGACACAGAGAGAAACTTGGTCTTGAAAAAGAAGGAAAGAAAAGGTGAGGCTGGATGAATGCCTATGAGCACTGGCTGCTAGTACAGAAGACTGGGGTCCAATTTTCAGCACCCACATGGTGGCTCAGTCACCCTAACTCCAGTCCCAAGGGGTCTTGCTCTTTTCTGACCTCCATCATACCAGGCACACGCATGGTATACATACATAATACACAGCACTCATACTCAGAAAACAAAATAAATTTTAAAAAGATGTTCTATTTATGATTTGCATTTGTTATATTTATATGTGAAAGAAAGGATGTTTGATTTAGCATTAGCTGTAACAGCAAAGTAATATGATCACCTTAAATGTCCATCAGAAAGGATACTAGTTAAAACAAACCTTAGCTATCTATTCCACTGAACATACAGCCATGGAAGCAGTCAACATACACAGAAATGTATTTGAGATAGATAGGCATTCTTCAAACCTTTCAAAGACCTACAGAATATGGCATTTAAAATGGCTTAGGGTTTTTCTTGACAGTAAGACATAACTGTTCCTGGCAAAACCACCCTGCGTCAGAAAGGAAGATGGACATCAAAGAAACGCGTTATGAAGTTTACTTCCAATATGGCAAGACTAGCCATTTGGACAAGATACTGCTCTTGTCTGGACTGTTTGACTTTATGCTGTATAAACTGAACATGCAGGACCCACAGAAAAGTGATTGCTGATTCAAGATGGACATTGCTACAGAGTTCCTGCTTCATGGAAGAGTCTGCCAGACAGTCTGCAGGACACAGAGGAAAGTGACTGACAAATTGCCAATACAAGAAGATAGTTTAAAGTTTCCTGCTTTGCTAAAGAGTCTGCCAGACACACTATGGCCTATGGGCTGAAGATGGAAGATTACAGAACTTCGGGTGACCAGGCAGTGAGTTGTCTCTGTCATTTCTAGAGCTTATATATTATCCTTCTGTGGTCTTTGAAGGAGTTGAAGACAGATAGTTATGGTTATAGTTTTCTTTAGTTAAGATTCAATGATAAATTACATATAGGACTTTAACTCACAAAGATAAAATAGATGATGGAATATTTTCTTCAAATCTTGCTAAATATTAATGGACTAAATATTAACTGTGATTCTTATTTGATAACTGTTGTGTTATATATTTTGCTATGTTAAGGTTAAAACCCTTCTTTTTATTTAAACAGAAAAGAGGAGATGATGGGAGATGCCATTATGTATATATGTTTCTCATACTGGTTAATAATAAAGCACTGTTGGCCAATAGGAAAGGAAGATAGGAGGGACTAGGAGACAAGGAGGAAATAGGAAGAAGTAAGGAGGAGTCAGGATGGAGAGTCTGGAGAGAACAGAACCGCCATTCCTCCGCTCTCGGTAAGACCACGTGGAAATACATAGAAATGGGTTAATACTTAAGACAGAGCTAGCCGATTAGAAACTAGCACCTGGCCAACAGTATAATATCAAATACAGAGTCTTGGTGTGTTAATTGGGGCTGGTACGGTGGCAGAACAAGACCGGGCAGCGGGTGGAAAAACCATACTCGTTACAACACTTTATTGCTGGCAGGCAGAATCAGTCTCCTGCACAAGAGCAGCACACATTATTACAGCACAGCAATTAGAACAAACCCTGGGGTGTCTCCATCAGTGTGGGCCCAGCCTGGTCCGTACCAAATGTGTGCTGTGATAGAGGACAGGGACTGGGGAAGCCCTGGCATGCCTCTTTTTTGGTGTGCATTATGTTTACCAGACTGCAATGGAGCAGTATCCATGTCTCCTGTTGATGTTGAGGAGAGATGAAATGGAATAGTGTAGTGACACCTGGAAATGCCATAGTGAAGCCCATTACTTCATATACTAACTCAGTGAAACTAAGTTGTTTCTTACCCTCAAGTACTCTATTGAATCTGGGGTATCAACGACAAATTACAGGGTGGAGTCTGTATTAAAGTTCTCAGTAAATAAGCAAATGAGCACCTTTTGTAAGGAATACCTACAAAATAGAGAAATCTAAAGACACTGAAGGAGTCCATCACAGATAACATAACATTCCTTCTTCCTCTAATTTAGACTAGAAGAAAGGAACGGATGTATACAGACCTGTGAGATAAAGTTTGGGGAGGGCAGAAGAGCTGGCTGCCTGGGAGGAACAAAACTGTAGAATGTTGGGATGCCTATGTCAACCTGGCTACATCTGAGGGATCTTTCTTAAATCACTGGATCTCTTGAGATGAGAAAGCCCACCTTTAATCTGGGTCACGCCCTCTGCGGCAGCCTATAGAAGGACATGGAAGGAGGATGCTTTTGCTCTCTGTTTGCCTGCTTGCCCTTGCAGGTTAAGTCCATTTCTTCACTAGCATTAGAGCCTACCTTTGGATTCTGGCACATACTAAAGACCAGCTGAGACACCCAGCCTCGTGCACTAAACAACTACTAGACCTTCCATTGGTAGATAGCCATTGTTGGACCACAGTCTATAAGCCATTCTAATATATACATTCATTCTATAAGTTCTGTAGAGAACCCTTAGTAATAAAAACATTAACAAAAAATATGGCTAAATCAAAATGGAAAAGAATGATCAATTTAATTAAATGGAAAAATTCTGTACCATGTTGAAGACAAGGTATATGCTTGGCTAGATAGTAAAGCATTATGTGACTATAATTTTAAAATGCAAGTAACCTAACAGAAAAATAAGCATACATTATGGACACATTTGTAAAATAATGTCCAGCAAGAATGAATGAAACTAGGTCTCCCCACAGTTAGGGAAATATGAATCACAACAAAGACGATAGGAGATGTAGGGCAGTTGTACACTGCTTGCCTAGCTCACAACTCTCCAATTAGAAACTAGAAATTTTCATTAAGGCTAAGCATGAGTTCCAAGTATGACCCCAAACCCTCTTACTGTACTATGACACATGCCCACATGTAGCCAAGTGAGAGCAATTTGTCATCATGTAAGCCAACAGTTTATACATCCTGTTACCTGGAATTCCACTGTAATGCCTGCCTCAGAGTACCTACCACATCTGCTGAGGAAAGATGATATAGAATATACCCTACAGCATTGCTCAAAATAGGGAAAAATCACCAAAATAGAGATATTAGGGGAACTGGTAGGAATGAGGCTAAATAGCAGCTAAGTGGAGAAACAGGAGGCAAAAGATGATAAGCAGGAAAGCTACATATTATGTATAGATACAAACATATAGCATAAAGTGTAAACCCTCAAATAGGAAGGAAGTACACAAACTTCAGAACAGTAAATTGGCTCTGGGAAAGGAAGAATGGGTCAGAGAGTACAAAAGAGTAACATTTTATTTCTTTAAAAATCAGAAATCAAGTATGGCAAAATAGTATGGGAAGAGTACAAGGGCTTATATTAATTACTACTTTATGTATATTTGAAATATTTTGTTATTTGAAAGAATTTAATGACATAAAATTATTCACACCATAAAAATTTATCAAGTGTTAACATTTAAACCACAGAAAAGCATATACATATATTAAATCACGAGGGGAAAAGAAAATTAAACTTTCAGGCTTGTATCCTGTCTGTTAAGTGTCATCAAAACTAACTGACTAAATCCTGAATGTGGAATTCTCTGTTTCAGTGTTGCTTCCAAGCCTTCTTTAGCATAGCAACAGCAGTGAGCCGACAGCTCTCCTCACAAGGCTTACAGAAGTCTTCAGAGTCCTGCCCTAAGCGGCTGCCCTCCCATGGCTGCCAAAGCCAAAGCTGTGCTACTCCGTCTCTGCTACTTGGGCTCTATAGGTCAGCAGAAGAACCAATACTGGAAGGGTTAGAAAGAAAATTTTATTGTGAAACCACTTTAAGGAGTAATTTTTACAGGGGTATTACACAGTCCTTGAGATTACTGTGTCAGAGGCAGACAGGAAGGTAAGAAGATGCTTAAAGGGGTTAAGAAGAGGTAGTAGAGCTTTGATGTCCACCCTTCACTGTCTCTGAATCTCAAGACTGTATGATGATAAATACTACAGGGAAAACTCAGCATCTGACAGACAAACCGATGCTGCACCTGTAATCCACACACAGTTGTCCTGCTGGACTGTCACCCTGACTAAATCCGTACTATTCGTTTCAGTAACAGTCGTGTTGAGCAGCTGATGGTAAGCAGCAGTTTTATTTGACACGAGTTGCGCCTTCTAATTAGACATTTGCAGAGATGAACCGACCTTGTAGGTGTCCTAACTACTAGATATGAAATGGAAGACTGTGATAAAATTAGTCTAAGATCCAAACTTCCATACCTCACACTTTGGATACAGACTTTTAAAGGCAATGGTACTGTAGCCAAGGCAATTTTTTAACTTGTTTATATACTTCAATCTATTAAAACTTCATTTTACCAGGATTGGTGGCACATACCTTTAATACCAGCATTTGGGAGGCAGAGGCAGGCAGATCTCTGAGTTCCAGGCTAGTCTGGTCTACATAGTGAGTTCCAGACCAGCCCGGAGCTACACAGTGAAATCCTGTCTCAAAACAAAAACAAAAAACTAAAGACTTAATTTAACTTAGTACTAAATCCTTCATTTCTGATGGTTTCAAATAATTAGCTCCCATAGGTCTTGATTTGGTGTAACCATGGCCAGTAAGGATAGCAAACTTGTCTTGCAACATTTAAAGTTTCCTACAGTATTTTTAAATACTGCCTATCCCACACAGCACCATGCTTGTCTGTTCCTTTCTGACAGACAACTACTACTTTACTACACAATCAATCAAATAACTGCTTGCCTCAACTTCCTACTCTGGAGACCCACTAAAGTGAGGAACAAATTCACACACAAATTTACAATTCAAACCTCATTAACATATGGAAATAATTCTCTTCACAAGCAAAAGGTTAATATCATGGGTATAATGTATAAATTTCATACTGCTCGCAGAGCCCCTTGAGTGCAGTTCATTCTTCATGTGCGATCTCAGCGTGCACTTAAATTAAATAGCTCTGGGTACGGACATAAATAGCTTAGTGTTACTTCATCATTAAAACAATCTGAAAACCAGAATAATTTTTAATTTTTCTGTCATCACTAACAAATCTTAAGTATTATCTGTACATGTAAATCAGCTCTCAATAAATTTTGCTTTACACCTGGACTGTTCTACAACACAGACCAACAAACTTGATGATTTATAAGTTATAATATAGCTAATGCTCTCACAAATTTCAGTTCTATAATTTAGGGTATTTTTGAGAAGAGATATTTATTTTTAAATATACAAAGAAATTAAACCATTAATATAAATATTTCTTTCAAATATGTAATATTCTCTTGTAAAAGAAAAAGGTTTCCAAAGATTTACAAAGCAGCCTAAAGAGAAGTGAGCCTGACTCCAGGTCACAGTAACAGAGATGGCAGTTCTGCCATGCTCACTGGCTTCCGCTCACGGGCTTCCGCACATCAGTACTTCAAGATGGAGCCAAGTCCATTGCCTCTGGCTTGACCTACTGCAGGGACAGCTTACAATTTAAAAAAAAAAAAAAAAAACTCAGAAAAAGGTCTCGCGACAGAGTGGACAAGTGGATTTGTTGCTAGACGTAAACCATTTGTACTGAAAAAGAAAAGGTTTTAATGTTAGAACAAATTTTTAAAGCTTTTATCATATGTGTGTGTGTATGTGTACATTCATACATACATACACACACATATGGTAATCTGTAAATGAGAAAATGAAAATAGAAACATACTAAGAATTTTGCCTTCCCATCTCCAAAATTAACATAACTAAATGTTCTTTCTAGGCTACACTCTGATCCCTTAGCCCTACATACTTAGGTTCATGCATAAAACTAAGGTAAAAGGAAGATCTAGGAAGAAATGAACCTATGTCATTTTCAATATGATGTTTACAAAGAGCCAAAGGCTCTGATGATGGATGGCCCAAGTCAAGT